CATTTCACCAAACATTCCTGTGTTCAGCAACAACTTATTTTTCTCTGTTGTTTTATATCATTCATGGTGCATCCAGTATATTTTTCCAAATGCAGTATTACTTAAGCACTGATGACAGTTGGAACGAATGTATTGACCTGTGTTTAGGGTTCATGCTATATCGCGAAAACTCGCCAATGTTTTATGTCGTTCTGTATGCATATTCTGGATTTAAAGAAGGGTGTACACAATGTATGCGGTCTTTCTTTCTCTATCTTTTCTCGACCACTGTCTTACTTCTTCAGCGTTCTCCGGACAGCCATATCAAAGCGGCGGCGCTTACAGCAACTTACAATCTACTTGGTCTGGGTCGTGATCCTTCTGGTGAGTATGTGAGCGTCCCATTCTGTGCCCGACCACCGGTTTAGGGTAGTTCATCCACCCATCAAACCGACTAATTAGAACCCTCCTCCCAAATTGGTGTCACATTCAATGTTACAATTATAAATAACAAACGCAATCGGTAGGCGGGAACCTTAAGTCAATAAAAGCTCCTATGGATAACTGTTACGTAATGTAGCATGTGCCTCTTTCTGACGATCANCTGAAAATGTTGTTCTAGAATAACTTGTCTTTTTCCATTTAATCGAACGATGTGAGCTTATCTGCAGAACTAATCTTTCACCTCTCGATTAGTCAATGTTAATGCCTGTAATCGGTCACTAATTGCACTTGGAATCGCAGTAGTGTAAGGGTGATACGTGAATTTTATTTCATGTATGTTTTCATGTATCCTTTTGCACTGGCATCAAGTCTTAGAGGTCACTTGCTCATTGTCCTTTAGGTTTTGCCACTCGACTTCCTTACACCGGAATTTCCCCAAAGTGATTGCATACCGTCATCAGGTTAAAAACGACTAAGGATTGTGGGGTATTAGTCCGACCCATTTTCTCGTTTCTATATCATCTCAGTCAAACAAATTGGGCTGTTCCAACTAAATTCAATATTTTACATTTGTACTCCTATGTTGATCAACAAAAGTTTACTGAATCTCTTTGATTCACCCGTTGTTTTTTTTTGTATTCCCGTAGATTACGGTCTGATTGGTTCAAGCCGGACCCACAGTGATCCTTTTTTGTCACATCAGTGGCGTCTGTATCATCGACACCATCGTCAAAAAGATCGCCATCGACGAAAGGTTGAAAATCTTAACCGTTCAACTACAAGTTCATCAACTGCTGGACCGTCTACGCGACGAGATGTGGCCACTTGTGTTGCCCAGAGTGCTTTAGAAGAGGCTGAAGAGGAAATAGAAGAGGAAGAGGAACAGGACATTGTGCTGGAACATGCCGTGATGACTGAGGAGGGCTCGCTGCATTTGCCCGGTGCTCGGGATTCCATTTCCCATAGGGCTCTGCAGACTGATGAAGTGCTAACAGACCCGTCACCGGTTGTGCAAGACTCGACTGTTTCGTTTTCAGGAGACCGTCCCTTAGCTCCTCTCGATCCTAGTTCTTCGACGAGTTTTGGACGTCGGACGTTCACGCATCAATCCAGTCGCCGATGGTGGCATTTATCGCCAACCACCACGGAATCGAGTTTCACTCACAGAATCACTCCAAGTACTACACAGACGAGAGCAACAGCTGCTAATGCTACTCTCTGCTCTTTATCTGCTAGTTCCTCTTCCTCCAGCACCTCCAGTACTTCTTCCACGTCTTGTGCGGAAGATCTAGCCAGTACTGTCGTCCAAGTTCCGGATCTGGATCAGTCTACCACTCAGGATACCGGTGCTTTTTCGTCTACAAGTTGCAGCGAGGCCGAGTTAAATGTCACCACTCCCTCCATCGATCAGCACTCCCACGATGATACGATGGCCGAATCATTGGCATTGGATGCTCGTGCACCTCTTGCCTCTCAAGAGGGCGCTGACGAGACAGAATCACAAGCTGTTCAGCTAACTCGTGTCTACTCGACTGATGCTGCTTCTCAGACTGCAGGAGTTACTGCTTTCAGTGGTCCGGTTTCGTCATCCCAATCTCGTTGGGGTGATAGCAGAGCTGTTCGCAAGGAGACAGATCAAACCTCTTCCCGGCACCAACCTTGGTCTGGCTCGTTACAACAACAGTTTGTCTGTCCACGACGTTCCCGTCGCGATCTGGAAACTGGATTCCGTCAGATTCTGTTACCTTTTCTTCAGGAGTTGGAATCTGATCAGCTTTTACGAAACACATGGGATTGGCTTATGTTGCGAGCAAACACACGCGGCAAACCGGTTCCATTGCATCACCTGTTTGTTGCTTGGCAGCGTCTCTACAATATGCTTCCAAGTGGGAGTCCTCCTCACACCATATCTGACACGCTTAATATTGAGTCTAATTTGTTCAATAACTGTGTAACAGTAGATGCGTTTCTCCGCCGCCTCAAAGATTCATCCAATCCCACTTGCTCCACTTCGTTATTGGCCGCAATACCCCGGCACCGTGATGGTCGCCATCGTCGCAGACACCATCATTGTCATCGACATCAATCTCATGGACAGAATCGGCACATGACATCACCACGTGAAACCACCACGGCTGCCGTCACAGATGGTGCATCAACCTCAACACCAGTTCCCCCGGTGACCACATCCGAAGAAGTGGAACGAACTGATGAGTTTGTCTCCGATGACCCAAGTGGTCGTAACTGAACCAAAGTATGAATTTTTACTGAACTTCGACACCCTTCTATACAAACCTCACCTACTTGTGGTCATTGAATAAATATCCCCAAGTTATCAGACGTGATTCTTTTCTCGGTCTTGCTTTTTGCCTCCACCTATCATGTAGAGTTGTTTCTGGCTTTATTCTTCACTCTGTCTATTTTTCGCATCGCTAACTTTTCCATTATTTTGTTCTCTTCGTTTTCTGACTTGGATTCACACGATTTGGTCTCATCAGTGGCGCCCTCGTCGTCAGTTGGTTATATGATAGTTGACTCCCACGCGTTTCACTCCCATTGTACTCAAAACTTTCTGGTCATTAAACCTGTCTGAATGGAATGTTTCTGTCGCTCTTGTGTGCTTCCGTAATATGGGTTCTTGGTTTTCAACACGTCCAATAACACCGAGTGAAGATCTACCATATTTGGGAATAATAGAACCACTCCGTCTGTTTCTTTTTATCGGAGAGGTGTTTGATGACTGTGCTTAGTTCATTTTTTATTACACAAAGTACCGCGCGGTTTAAAATTTTGAAATGCTCTGGTTGAAAATACGTTTGGTACTATTGCAGTGGAATATCTTACGATATGTCACTTTTTACTGACAGGAAATCTGTCTAAGCATTTGTCAAGCGTATTTGCTGTGTCCTCTTAGAA